GAATTTTGCAGTTATCTTTTGGTGTTAATGTCTATTTTCATTTTGGTCAAAGAAGACACTTTATATGATATCAATATTTTAAAATTTATCGAGAAACATTTTTTGGTCTATCTTGCAAAATGTTTCATGTACATGTAAGATAAATGTGCATTATTTTGTGTTTGAATAGTGTTCCATATGTCTGTAAGGTTTAGTGAGTTTATAGTGTGTTCAAGCCCTGTATTTCCTTACTAATTATTTGTGTACTAGTGAAAGTAGGATATCAAAATGTCTGATTTTTATAGAACTGTTAAGTTTTTCTTTTAATTCTGTTTTAGTTTAATATATTCTGAGGCTATGTTGTTAGGTGTGTATATATTTATAGATGTTGTAACTTTACTATGATTTGACTCTTTTAATAACATTTTCTGCTTCGTTTCAACAGTGTTTTATCTTGCATTCTAATTTGTCTGGTGCTAGTATAGCCATCCCAGCTATCTTTTAATTACTGCTTGCTTGGATTATCTTTCTGTCCTTTCTCTTTCAACCTTTTTGTGTTTTGGTCATAAAAGTGAACCTTTTATAGGTAGCATATGGTTATATCATGCTCTTTTAATCTATTCTACCAATCTCTGTGTTTTAAGTGAACAGTTTAATCTACTTACATTTCAATTACTTATAAGGAAGAATTAATGCAATTTTGTTTTTATTTTCTGTATATTTTACAACATTTTGTTCCTTAATTTCTCTATTACTTTTATCATTTGTAAGAATTTGTTTTCTCTACTGTTTTGATTCTTATTTCTCTTTCTTTTTGATATTTTTCCCCTTTAGTTGTTTCCCTGGGGTTTATATGAAGTCAACTGAACTCTAACAATCTAGTTTGGATCAATGCCATCTTAGTTGGAAAAACACAAAAAATACTGCTCCCATACAGCTTCATATCCTTTATGTTATTTTCACTAATGGCGTCTCTATATAGCATACGTTCATTAACAGACATAATTATGTTTGTGCATTTGCTTCTTAAATTGTATAGGATAAAAGAGTTATGCATTAAAGAACAGAATAGTACAGGCTTTAAAATTTACTTACATTGGTCTTTTTTGTATGTATGGCTTTGTGTTAGTCACTATTCATTTCAGTCTATCAGCTCCCTATAGCATTTCTTGTAAGAAAATTCCGATGGTTATAAACTCCCTCAGCTCTCGCTCACTCTCCCCTTCCCTCCCTCCCTCCCTTCCTTCCAATCTGGGAATGTCTTAATTTCTGCTTCATTTTATTTGTGTTCATGTGTGTGTGTATGTTGCTCAGTCTGGTCTCAAACTTGTGGGCTTAAGTAACTCTTTTGCTTCAGTCTCCAGAGTACCTGGGATTACAGGCATGTGCCATTGAGCCTGGTTGTGTTTCATTTTTAAAAGATAGTTTTGTCAAATAAATAATTCTTGTTTGATGCCTTGCCCCTTTGCTAGCATGCTAAAAATTCGGTCTCATTGCCTGTTGGCCTCCAAGGTTTCTGGATGAGAAATCTGCTATTAATCTCATTAAGGATACCTTTTATATCACTTCTTTCTTGCTAATTTCAAGATTCTCTCTGTCTTATGTCTTAGGCTCTGGACAGTTTAATTGCAATATGGATCTCAGTGTGGATCTTGTTGCCTTTGCCCTCCTCAGAATAAGCTGAGTTTATTGAGTTTGGGGCTATTTATTCTTCAAATATTCTTTCTCTTTTCCCTCTAGAACTTTCATCATATTTATTATGGTATACTTAGTATTCTGTATATCTTTGACGTCTCTTCTTTCTTTTTTTTTTTTTTTTTCTGCTCCCTTAGGTAGGACAATCTTTTTGCCTGTCTTCAAATTCCCTGATTATTCTTCTTTCTTCAAATTTGCCAGTGAACCCTCTAGTAAACTTTAGCTCTTAAATTTACATTACACTTGGCTCATTTTTGTAATTTCTGTTAATGCCTTATTTGTTACATTGACATTACCTGCTCTTGATTTCCTTTAGAGTTCTGCCCATGGTTTCATTTAGCTCTTTGAATATGTTTAAGACAATTGTTTTAACATCTTTGTCTCATTAGATCAATGTCTGGACACACTCTATATGGACTATACTTTCTTATTTTTTTGCAACTGGATATGACAACTGTATATGACTGGATATGAATATTAAAATGTGGCAACCCTGGAAATGATAATCTTCCCTCCAACAAGATTTGTTGTGGGTTGATTTTTCTAAACTTCATTTTGAAGTCTGCATTTTTTTGTCTTGATGTAGTCTCCGAGTTCTGCAGTCCCTTATAATTATGGTCAGCTGGTGCTTTGACAGAATTTTCTTAAAGACTTGAATCTAATAAAATTTTTAAAAATTAAAAAAATACGGAGATAAGAAAATAAAAAAGCTGGTAAAAACAATTGAAACGACCAACTGTGGCAGAAAAAAAGTTGAGCAAAGAAAAGTTTTATGGAATTATAGATTTTAGTATTTGCTTTTCCCCATTGCTTTGGGTGGGTTTTTTTTTTTTCTGTGTACTAATATTTACTTTAACAACCTTAAAGAAACCTGTAACTTCCAGTATTTCTTTAAAAGGATGAATGTTTAAATTTTCCTGAATGTATCACTGTTAAAAAAAATAAATGTCAAATAATTGTAAATAAAGTTGATCTAAATACACCTTGTTTTTTGCTTCAGTGATTGCCGTGTCAATCAGCAGGTTTGCTGCTGTGCCCGTGTTCTCAGTGTCGACAGTGAAGTACAGAGCAGTGCTGCTCCTGGCGTCCATCACATTTGGATCTGCACCAGATTTTAGCAAAATCAGCACATTCTTCCTCCTGGAACTGTGCAGTGTATCAGGACTTAATCAGAACTGTGCTGTTGTCACTGTCACAGAAGTTAATGTGGTATTTCTTCTGTATCAGAGTGTCACCACTTCTGATGGCCACAGGCATAGGGGTAATGCAGAGTAGTCCTATTGGAAGGACTGGCAGTGGGGATGAGGCTGTTGTGCTGGGGTTGCAAGCCAGGACGTCACTCATGCTAGGCAAACATGGTACCCTCGAGGTACATCCCCTGACCAGAGCAACAGTTCATGATGTTCCACAGTGGTAATTGGCAGCATTGATGAGATATTCTTCATACTCATAGAATTATCTCACAATTCATGGTGCGTAGAACTTCAGTAATTAGATGAAGACTTGGGCCACCAAGTGGAAAAGCTTCTCTGCCTCTAGATTGGGTTCCTTCAGCCACTTGATCCTGGATCCAACAATACATAGAGTGGCTTCTCAGTTACTCTTCAAGTTAATTTAAAAAAAAGTCATCCTCCCTCCCACAGTTAAATCTGCTGACTCCAGAACTCGGGATGGCTCAAGTACAGCAGTGACTGTAAAAAATATGTAAATGAGTGTCCAACTGCCAACTTTCACAGGCAAAAAGCAGAATACTTCAAAGTAGGATTTCTGATTTTAAATTTTAGGTGCCTCATGAAAACTAACCTATCGATACATATTTGATTTCGCTAAAACCTGCTTTGGGTATTTTCTACAAAGATTCTGGTTATCTGTATGTTGGATCCTGACAAAGACCTAATCAATCTCTGATTTCTCTTCAGTTCTTTTTCTCTTTCTTCATTAGAGGTATTAACCCATTTCTGTTTCTTTTACAAAATTTCTGAGCTGAGAAGTATATGAGGAAGAGAGGTTTATTTAGCTTAGTGTTCAGGAGATGCAAGATCACGGCACTGACATCAGTTTGACTCTGGTTAGGACCTATTGGAGGATGGCAGGAGTATATGCAGGAACACACAAGAGAGGGAGAGATCTTTTGGTGAGATAGGAAACCAGAGGGTGGGGAGGGGGAGTCTCTTTTGTAACCTTTCACTCTCATGGAACTAACCAGGGTCCTATGAGAAGTGCTTAAACCCTTCTAAAGGTAGCACCTCCAATGACCTTCCATTAGGACCCTCCTTTAAAGTTTATACTACTACTTTCATCACACTGAAGACCAAGATTTTACAATATGAAACCTTGGAGGGCAGCCCACATCTAAATAATAGCAGGGTGAATAATGGAACTTTAAAATTTCCTCCTTTTCACCCTGTATATTTCTCTTAAGACATTATCTGTGGTATGTGCTCTTAAAATTTAGTCCTTTTTTTTCTCAAGTGAATTTTAATTTTTTTCTTTTTTTCATCAACTTTGTCACTACATTTCTAAGTTTTTATAACTTTGAATATTTTGGCTTTTTTTTTTATTAATAGGTTAGTAAGTTAACATATTATCTGTTTTGTGTGCTTTCTTTGTGTGTTAGGATGTTATTCTGCTCCTTATTTTTTTTCCCTCCTAATAACAACTATGGGATTTGATTTTGATACTTATCTATTGTTTATTTTTAAGTAATTTTTTTTTTGGAAAATTTAGGAATCAGATTTAGGATATCTTTTCTACTTTGTGTTGCTTTCTTATATCTTGCAAAAATATGGCCACTTTTTTACTTGTTACATTGATGCTACTGGCTCTTTTTACTTGTTACATAGATGCACTGCTTTACCTGGATCTTTTTATAGTCTCTCTTATTCCTGTGTAGCTGAGTGGATTCTACTCCTAATTTCTCTTCAGCTTTTCCCTTATTTAGCAAGGAGATATGGCTCATTCAAGTAGTCCCAGGCTGCTCTGCTTCCTAGTGAACAATGAAATAGGCCAGGTCTACTTCATGGTGAACTGTGGATGTCTAGGTTCCCAGGGCCTACTTTGACCCCTGATGTTATTTGGGACTTTGGAGGGGTGATAGTTTGTCCTCACCCACTTGTATTTTGGACTTTGTTGACTGCTGGTAAATGTTGTCTGTTCATTTTGGATTTGCTATCTATTTGTTCTATCTTTATGTGAAGATTCAGAGACATTAAAAAACTATGCCTTTATTACTGTCATTCTTGGGTTTCTAAATTGCTAGTTGACAACTTAATAATGTATGTTTAATGAAGTTGAAATATTTTTTCCTTTAAAAATCATCTCCACAGAGGAAAAGGAATTGGTGTATAGAGTATCCATCCTTTCCAGAAGAGAAGCCACTACAATGCAGAACAGGTCTCAGGACAGTGGGAGCAGTTGCCTCCCTCTCTGAAGCATGGCTTAAGTGTGGAGAAGGATTTCAGGACACTCCTAGGACTCGGGTAAAGTAGCTGTAAAATTGTTTTCCCTAATGCAGAAGGGTAAATGATAAGATTCCTTAGTGTTCATGCTGCTGTGATTACATTTCTTTGGAATTCCCTTTCTTATTTTCTTTTCCATATATTATAATTGATGCAGTATTTTTCCCCCCATTCCTTGAATTCCTTTAATAATTGTGGCATATTAGTATCACCTTGTTAGGCTATGCAGAACCTTTGTACTTGTTTGTAAATGGAGGATACATACTGAGAAAGTTTTCAGAAGTGAAACCATTGAACATACTACTTTACATGAAGTATATTTATGAAATGTTCATATATTCAGAACCTTTTGTCTATGAGATTCTGGTTAATTTTTGTACAAGTTATAACTTACAAAATAGAGGAATGGTATCATAAACTCTAAAGATAATGTAGAGACAAACAGTAATAAGAACCTCAAGTGTCAGAGTCATATATGTGAACATTAATATTGAATATTAATGTGAAATTTTTTGTTGATAATACAACAAAACTTTATTAACATTTTGGACAGGTTGAGCTATGACTGATAGTGGCAATTTCTGAACTTAAGTTGGGGCAAATGGCTATAGTGCAGCATAATGCCATCACTGTGTATTGTAAATACAGACATAAGAATGAATTGTTACCCTTCAAATGAAGGATCAGGTGCAGAGGATTGTTGTAGTCAAAGAGTACAGTCATCTTCCAGCTGCTTGCCTCTAGAGGTGAGCCCCTGCTAGTCAAGGGAATGCCTTTTTTATCCTGGATCTTGGCGTTTACATGATTGTCTTGTCAATTAGGGTCTTCACAAAGATCTGCATTTTGACCTGTTATCAAATGTCTCATCGATCCACCCATAAACATCCACACTGCCATTCAACAAAGCCACTCAGCTCTTGAAATGTTTTGATCAGTCAACATTGTTTCAATTCTGGAAAAAAATCAGTTTATAAGAATATAAGCAATGGGTTGGGGTTGTGGCTCAGTGGTGGAGTGCTTGCATAGCACATGTGAGGCACCGGCATTGATCCTCAGCACCACATATAAATAAATAAAGGCATTGTGTCCATCTACAACTAAAAATATGTAAGAAAAAAAAAAGAATATAAGTAGTATGTGCTTTGGCAATACTTACAAATATAAGTAAAGGGAAACAAGAATATATTAAGGAAGGTATAATTTAAGACTGAATATTTTACAAAGTATTGTTGGGTTTTAATCTATTGTCACGTAAATTACTTTACTGTTATTTTGCCTGCAGACACCAACAACTGAAAAAGTGACTCTTTCAGAAAAGGACCTTGAATTAGCTCCAAAACCAAAGAAAGGTAATACTACTTTGTTGATTTCTTTAGAGAGAAGGTGTAAGGCCAATACATCCTTTGGTGATTCTTTGCTTTTTTTCTGTTACTTACATAGTTTGGTAGTCTACATTTGTGTTTAAAAAACATCAAAAAGAAAAGAAATGGCTGTGGGTTTGATTCCTAGAAAAATCTTGTGGGAAATAAACTTAGGACCTGTGCTATATGGACTATACTGCTTTAGGCTATGAACAATGTCTTGTTACTTGGTGAATCAGTTTGGGGAAGCTTTCCAGCTATAGATATTAGGAAACTCTGTTCAAATTCTAGGGGTTGAATTTATCTCCTGCAACAAGATATCCAGAGGGCCTAACTGATTCTGCCCTTTGCAACCTTAGTGTGGGGGTTGGTTCTCACAAACATGAGATGGTAAATGAATTCTCAAGGCTGAATTTTTGGGAAGAGTGTGGGTACTAAGGATTTTTGCTGAGTGAACATTGCCTTTCTTTGGGAAGGAATCTCTACCAGGGATAGGTTAATGAAATTAGGGATTTTTACAGAGTTATGTTGCTGCCAATAAAATTAGGGTTTGTGGTAATGGAGAAGAAGGAACATATATCAGATAGACTTCTGGCTTTGCTACTGTGGTCAGTAGTTACTGACTGTAGTCAGTCAGTTACTGGAGATGAAGAAGATGACCTTGTGACTTTAGTATATCTTACTATGTTCTGGCTATAATCATGGAAAAGTAAGCTAAATGCTCTGACCCTCAATTTCTGCATCTGGAAAATGGGCATAATATTGAGCCTCATTGATTATTGTGAGTAGTAAGTGAGTTAAAAACAATAGATATAATGAATACTTAGCTCAGAGTCTCATACTTAGCAGATAATTAATGGCAGCAATAGCTGATATGTCTGATGGCAGAGTTATGTGAGAGTCTGCCTAAAGTTCCTGGGAATGGAATAACTTTCTGTGATGAAGACACTAAGCATTCTAAGCCATAATATTTTACTAACACTTAAGAGGGATCTTTTTTTATGTATATGAAGAAGAAGGCCTGGCATGAAGGAGTAAGACTTTAATCCTAATTGTTCTGGAGGCTAAGCCAGGAGGATTGCATGTTTGAGGCCAACCTGGTTGATTTAGTGAGACCCTATTTAAAATAAAATCAAAATAAGGGTTGGGGATGTAGTTCAGTGGTAGAGTGCTCCCCTAACATGGATAAGGCTCTGGGTTTCATCTCCAGTAATACACATAGGAAAAAGAAAGAAAATATACCAAAACGTTTCTTCAGAATTCATAAAACACTGTTTCATAGAATAACTGGCATAGGAGCCAGGGTTGTGACTCAGTGGCAGAGTGCTTGCCTAGCATGCGTGAGGCACTGGTAGGAGGTAAGGACTTCAACAGATGAATTTTTGGAAGACATAATTCAGCATAGACCATCAAGTGCCAGCACATAGTGGTTACTCAGAAATGTTTGTAAATGTATTTCTTTTCGTTCAGTACATTTTTACAGAATCCTTCCAAAACAGCAAACCATGAGGAAGGAACCCCTCTGATAGAGCAAACCATGAAGAAACAAAGAAAATGAGTACTTCTGCCTGTTTTCATAGTCAGCTTAATATCCTTCCTAGATTTCACGGAAATGGCCCTTAATCTCAAGGGTGTTCCTTTTCAGCAAGTAAAATGAATTACTGACTAATAAATTCCTGATAGTGGTTTTAACTCTGTAACTTATGTAGTTTAGTTTATAAGTCTAGAGTCCTGGTTACTGAGAATTTGAATGAGATGGCTATTAATTACACTATCTCTTTTAATAGAAAAGTACCAGACAATTACATATTTTCTAGGAGTCTCACACTAAGCTCATGATGAAAGAGACTGCAGGTCTCCAGCTGCCTTGGGAGATCCGTGTAATGGTTAAGAATGTGGACTCAGAAGCTAGACTGCCCGAGTGTGAATCCAAGCCGCAACTACCAGATGAACAAAGGAAGCATTGCATTTGGGAAGCCCTTTTGAACAATTTACAACCTAGTAATAATGAAAGTTGATAAATTTGTCTAAATAAAAAGGGGAAGGTCTGGGATTGTGGCTCAGTGGTAAAGCACTTGCCTTGCATGCTTGAGGCACTGGATTCGATCCTCTGCACCACATTAAATAAATAAATAAATAAATAAATAAATAAACAAACGTATTGTGTTTATCTACAACTAAAAAAATATTTAAGAAAAAAAGGGGGGTTGCTGGGGTTGTCGCTGAGTGGTAGAGCACTCGCCTAGCATGTGGGAGGCCCTGAGTTCAATCCTCGGCACCACATAAAAATAAATAAACAAAATAAAGGTATTGTGTCCACCTACAACTAAAAAATAATTTGTTTTAATAAAAAAGGGAATTGGGAACTTTTGGCAAATATTGCAAATTATATACACAGTGTAAAATCCAGAAAAACAAAAGGAGGGTTACTTGTACTTTATAGTAAAAAGACTGATCTTCATAGCAAAAAAACCTTTAGAAATTAATCTGGAGGGAGATAACTCTTATAAAAATAAAGATTATGAATGAGCTGCTTGCAGTAAAGCAAATATCCAAACACATGAAAAGACGCTTAGCCTTATCTGTGCACAATGAAACGTCACTAGGAGACCATTTATTTGTGATTAGATACCAAGTCTCAGTAAGTATCTTTCCATTTGTTCTAGTCTTCTTTTATAAATTCTTTGGAAGTCTGAAAAATTTCCTTCATTTAGATTTTACATGCCTTTTAATTTTCTTTTACATATTTGATATTTATTAACTACTGTTTTGAACTTGGTTTCTATATAATATTTTGTACTTTGCTACCTTTATTGCATTTCCTTAATTTTGGTAGTAGTTTTTCAGTTGGTTTCTTTATTTTTGTAGTTGTTTGTTTTATAATATGCAGATTATGATCATTTTACTTTTTTGTTTAGTTTTTCAGATGCATAATGTGATTGGTATTGTTTTTTGCAGACAAGTACATAGTTTAGTTTTATTAGTTATTTATATTTAAATAGATATGCAGTCTTAGGCAATTCAGAATGTTTATTTTTCCTTTTATATTTTGAAGGATAGGCTACTTCAGTAATTCTAGATTTTTATGGCATAAAGTAAATGTTGATTATTTTGTTTTTGTCCTTTGTAAGTGCTGTTTTTCTTGACATGAGGTTTTCAGTGAGTCTTCCTATCCTGATCAATAGGAGTAGAAAATTTTTTGTGTGTGTATGCCACCATTATGTCATAGCATACCTCTAGCATAATATTTAATTTCTATTTTCATGACTACTATTTTGAGATCACATTTTTTTTTAGGACAGGACTATGCTATTTCTTTTTTTCTTTCTCATGGTTTACTTTATCACATGGGTTCTATACATATACATTAAACGAAACCACTTAACATCTAAGCCTATGTTTCCTTTTCTGTAAAACATAAATGTCTTTTATCCTATAGAATATTGAAATGACTTTGAAATTGAACTTTGAAATTTTCACAAATTCCATAAAATGTGGGATAAGATAGAATAATAGTTTTAGCATTATAGCTACAGTTATGAATATAATGAATGGTTTTTATTAGTTGCATATTTCTTTTCTGATCCATATCAGAAAAGTTTGCTGTTGACTTGTGATTCTGTAAAGATATAGTAGCCCCACTCCTTCTAGGTGTTCCATCTATCACAATGACTAAAATAAAAAGGGGTAAAAACACCAGCTGCTAATGAAGCCTCATGTGGAGAGTTAGTCCACTAATTGCTAGTGGACTATAAAATTTTACAGGTGCTCTGGAAAACACTGGCAGTTGCTTACAAGAGTAAACATGCAAGTATTATACAACCCAGGAATTGTACTCTTAGGTATTTATCTCAGAAGATGAAAATTACATTCGTATAAAATCTTATGTACAGATGTTTATAAGCTACTTTATTCATCATAGCCCTAAATTGGAAATAATACATATATCCTCAGTGGGTAAATGATTAAACAAACTATGGTATATTCATACCGTGGAATCTTATTTAGTAATAAAAAGAAAGTAACTATTTGTACACAGAATTATTTTGATGAATGTCTTGAGTATTATGCTGAGTGGGGGGAAAAACAGCCCTAAAAGGACTGATTTCATTTGTATAACATTATTAAATGATAATAAACATTAGAAATGCAAAACTGATTAGTGGTTGCCAGGGGTCAGGATTAATGTGTGAGAGAGGGAAGTGTTATGGCTATGGTAAATTAACACAGGGCATCTTAATTAATTTTGACCTGATCTGTGTCAATATCCGGGATGTGATATTATTCTACAGTTTTACAAGATATTGCCGTTGGAAGATATAAAGGGTCTCTATACTCTTTCTTTAAACTATGAATCTACTATCTCAAAATAAAAAATTTAATTACATGCAAAAGTTTTTAAGCACTCTAATGCTACCAGGGTTCTTGCATGGCATGGGAAGCACACATTTTTATTATTCATATATATTGGTTTTGTGGTTTGGGCCTTGTTTTGTGCTTTTTCACTTGTAGTTTCATAAACTATTCTATGCTGTTACTTCAACTCTTATTTTTCCAGTTTTCTTTTGTGCTCCTTTTATAATTTGTCTTTATAACTTACCTCTAAAGTTTTACTTCTTTTTCTTGTAACTTAGATTTAATGCAAAGTCTTTTTGAAGTTGTACATGGAGCTTTAGGCAGCAAGATTTGATATAAGTCATTGTTTTTATTTTCATCAGAGTTTTGTATGTTGAGACTTTAGCAAAGTAGTGTGCACAAAATATTATTCTAATAAATAACCATATGATTATATTTATATATTTTCTTTTTCTTTAACAGAAACTACCACATCTAAGAATACCAATGAGCTTACAGATATAACATGGAGTTCCAGTGGAAGTGATCTGTCAGATGAAGACAAAACTCTTCCTAAATCACAGAGAGATAATGAACATGGCTCTATAATAGATAAGTTCCATAACAGGAATATTTTATGTCCAGAAGATGGGGCCAGTGAAGGTAAATTGCTAATTTTGTAAGAAATTCAGTTTCTATTAAATACTGGGTTCAATATTGGAAGAAACATTCTTTTTTATATTTATTATTATGATTTTACCAAGACCTAGCCTCTTTGATAACATCTTTAAAAACATTTCTCTTTTAATATTTCTTATAAGTCTAAGAGATAGATATTACTGGTATTATTTTGACAGTTCATAAGTTAGGCTTAGACTTATCAGAATTGGTTGGGATTTAATTTCAGTCTCTTTGATGCTAAAACCAGTTCTCTCAACTCCCACATAATACTACACCCATGCTACCTTCTTGCTCACTATTAACATTGAATAAATACTGTGACAACCAATGTGTGGTAGAAGTATAACATCAAATTTCTGTTCTGATGGCCTTTTATATTGCATCATGTTTTAGTTTGTTTAAAAACAAGGTTTCTCAACCTTGATACCATTGCCATTTGGAGCCAGGTAATTCTGTTATAAGGAGAAATTTCCTATGCATATTATGTAGGGTGTTTTGAAACATCCCTGGCCTCTACCCACTAGATCACAGTAGTACCCACCACCCCCAGTTTTTGACAACTAAATATGTTGGTCCTCTGTAGTATAATATCACCTCTAATTGATAACCATATTTGTGCTATTATGGAAATTATGTCCTTGTGCAAATTTAAAAATCTGGAGTATTTAAAAATCTTAATGCTTTCAAAATAACTTGTGACTTTTAACTCTGATAGTTCATGTTAGATACTCAGTCAAGGTTAGGTTTGGATGAACAGCCTCTTTGGCAGGTGATTAAACATTTTGTATGGTGGTTTGAACATTTTGTATGCCATTTTGGTGACTATCCTTGATATTTTAGTAGTTCTCAGGTGAAGTGATATTTCAAGTTTATACATAAGCTGATAGTGCTTATATTATTAATTCAAGCATATTAATTGAAATTATGTTGCTTTTATTCACATACTTTAGAACATAATTTCAATATTGACAAATGTATGCTTTTCTTGGATAAATAGTAATGGTATATGAATTATATCTCAAAACTGGCATAAAAAATAAAAAATTATGTTGTCTTCTTGTATTAAAAGAAGTATTTGGTAGTTTCCAAAACTCTATTCATAAAATGGAGAGGTTCCTTGGGCTAATTACTTCAAAATGAGTTAATATATTGTTGACTTTTCATATAAAGTTGAATTGTAGATAACAAGTAAATTATCCTTGGAGTGTATGCAGTCATGTTTGCAGCTGCTGGACATTTCTGTCTTTCCCCTCTGCTTCTCTTTTCTCATATTCCCCAATCTGTCTTTCTTTTTTTACCTTTAGTGAATGACAGCTATTCCATTTGTCAAGATATTATGTTGTCCCAGACACTTGAGTGGGCATTATATATGTTATTTTCTTTCCTATATACTATATCCTACAAGCTAAGAAGTACCCTCATTTTATAGAAGAAATTTGGAACTTTGAAAAGTCAAGTCACTGCTCCAGTCCCACAATAAGTGTGCCAGTTGATATTCAGACCCAGAGATGTCTGACTTCTTTGCTGTGTGATGGCTTCATAACCTTTAGTATTCCTAGACCTTTTTTTAGCCATATAGTCAAGAGACTTTAGTCTGTACAGGCCAGAATTGGGGTTAAAAGGAAAAACAAAAGTTTAAATTTAAAAAATGTTTTTCTCTTAAAAAATTCCCCTTCTTCATTTGAATTGGACATGACATTGGCAAAATTTCTTAAGTTACTAGAGACACAACTTACCCCAACCTCTAGTATTTTCTAATGATTATAATGGATTTTCACTGTGCTTCTGGAATAAAGTATCATGTAAAAGATTTTGTTTTGTTTATTCCATATTTTAACTTTAGCTTAAATTTTCTGTCTTTTTTAAATTTTTAGGTCCATTCAGGTATTAAAGATAGTATGTTTTTTTCTTTTTAATATTACTTCACTTTACTGGAAGTGTAATTATTACTATCAGTCCTACAAAATAGGATCATGATATTTTATTACCCTTCTGAGTTGCTGAAGTAACTATTAAGGAGTATCATTCTTTGTATTGTAGGAAAAGTTTATGTATTATCCCTCAAAAATAATTCATCTTTAATAACTGCTTTCATTTATTTAAGCATAGCAGATTAGAATCAGTATATTTGGTTGTTTAATATATGAAAATAATTTAGCTTTCAGATTTAAAATTTTACAAAAGTAGCATCTAGTTAATGCTTATGAAGTAAACTAAATGCTGAATTTATTTGTTTCCTTATTGATGAAAGAAATCTACAGAAAAAGTTATTGGGTGGAGACATTTGAAAAATCATTTCTAGTAGATGATTTAAATAAGCTATTGTTCAGTTATGCAGTGGAATACTAAATTGTAGAAAAGAATGGGGATATTCATTCCTTAGTGGTAAAAGAAAAACTCTTCATTATGTTAAGTGAGAACAATTAAGATATGTGAGAAAGCTGAAAAAAATAACATATATATCATATTTTCTTGAACATGCTGGAGAAATTATAAGTATTGAAAAACAATAAAAAGCTGGGCTTGGTGGTACACGTATGTAATCCCAACAACTTGTAAGTCTGAGGGACAGTCACTGGAGAAAAGAGTAGAAATCTACTTTTTACTATCAATATATTTTTTTTAAAAAATCACCCAGTAACATGGATGTATTAGGTACTGAAAATGTGAAATAGATTAAAAAAAATGTTTTTAAATTGTATCTTTTAGATGAATTACAGTTTATTGACTGGGAGATTGACAGTGACAAGGAAGATGCTAGTGAATATAATGAATGGGAAGATGGTAAGGGTGCTGTAGAAATCTCAGATTGTGCCTCTTGTGCAAGTAGTCATTCTTTGACAAGTGATGAGAGACTATCTGAGCTTCCTAAGGTAAGAAGAAAGTATTTCAAAAAGTTTTATTTTGTTTACAACATTTGCTCATTAGAGCCTTTAGGTGTCTTCTCAGAGTCTTTTGAATCTACTGGATTTTTTTGTCTTAACCACTTTATATCCAAATAATACTTATATTATACTTCTCAACATGGATAAATACTGAGCTGTCTTGTCAACCCTCATCTCACTTCCATCTGAAATACACTGAAAGTTTTCTGTATTTCCATTATCCCACTTGGTACAAATATATTAAGGTGGGGTTAGATACTACTCTATTCAGTATTTACACAATTGTGAATCAATAATATTGATACATGATATTAAAAATGTGAATATTATTTTTCTTTCACAACTTTTTGTTTTCCTTGGACTTGGCAATTATTTATTTATTTTTGTTTTTCTATTTTTAATTACCATTAAATATTTTATTTATTTTTTTTCAATTTTTTTTTTTTTTAGAATTTTAAATTTATTTTTTTTTAGTTTTTCGGCGGACACAACATCTTTGTTTGTATGTGGTGCTGAGGATCGAACCCGGGCCGCGCGCATGGCAGGCGAGCGCGCTACCGCTTGAGCCACATCCCCAGCCCCTCAATTTTTTAATTAATTTTTAAAATTTATATATGACAGTGGAATGTATTACAATTCTTATTACACATATAGAGCACAATTTTTCATATCTCTGGTTGTATACAAAGTATGTTTACACCAATTTGTGTCTTTATACATGTACTTTGGATAATAATGTCCATCACATTCGACCATCATTTCTAACCCCATGTCCCCTCCTTTCTCGTTCCACCCCTTTGCCCTATCTAGAGTTTGTCTTTTCCTCCCATGTTCCCTCTCCCTACCCCACTATGAATCAGCCTCCTTATATCAGAGAAAACATTCAGCATTTGTTTTTTTGGGATTGGCTAACTTCACTTAGCATTATCTTCTCTAGCTCCATCCATTTACCTGCAAATGCCATGATTTTATTCTCCTTTATTGCTGAGTAATATTCCATTGTGTATATATGCCACATTTTTTTAATCCACTCATCTATTGAAGGGCATCTAGGTTGGTTCCACAGTTTAGGTATTGTGAATTGTGCTGCTACAAACATTGATATAGCTGTGTCCCTGTAGTACACTGTTTTTAAGTTCTTTGGGTATAGACTGAGGAGTGGGATAGCTGGGTCAAAGAGTGGTTCCATTCCCAATTTTCCAAGAAATCTCCATACTGCTTTCCATATTTGCTGCACCAATTTGCAGTCCCACCAGCAATGTGTAAGTGTACCTTTTTCCCCACATCCTTGTCAACACTTATTGTTGTTTCTGTTCTTGACAGCTGCTATTCTGACTGGAGTGAGAGTTTGATTTGCTTTTCTCTAATTGCTAGCGATGATGAACATTTTTTCATGAATTTGTTGATTTGTATATCCTCTTCTGAGAAGTGGCTCTTCAGGTCGTTGGCCCATTTATTGATTGGGGTTATTTGTTTTTTTTGGTGTTTAGCTTTTTGAGTTCTTTATATACCCTAGAGATTAGTGCTGTATCTGATGTGAGGGGTAAAGATTTGCTCCCAAGATGTAGGTTTTTTATTCACCTCACAGATTGTTTCTTTGGCTGAGAAGAAACTTTTTAGTTTGAGACCATCCATTTACTGCTTTGTTGTTAAGCATTTCAGAAATAACAGGCATTCTGTCAATTCCATTTTCTTGGAGAACGCCCACCCACAACCTCCTATGTGCTCCAATTTGAACTTAGGGTCCTCTTGGTTTCGTGGACATTGTCACTCTGATGTCTCCTTTTACCACTATTCAAGAAATTTATTTACTTCTCTCCTGTGTAGAGCTCCATTTTTATCCTATATTTTATGTTTTCATCCTTGCCTTGGTTGAACACATCTTCCAGTGGCTTCAGAAATAATTTACAGAAGATAATATTTTTGAGAATGCATGTCTGAAGATGTTTTTATCATACATTGGTATGTGACTGAAAACTTGTACAGAATTTCTGATTGAGAATAATTTTTCTTTGAAGTTTTGAAAACATTACTTCCTTGTCTCTAGGGCAGGTTACTTGTGCTTTATTTTGTGCCTTTGGTGGGGTTTCCTTAATTGTTCTTATCTTTGTATTCATGCCTTCTTATCTGTTCTGGAATTAATTATTTGTAAGCAGGCTAAGAAGCATGCCATGATCTAAAATTTTCTGTTGATCTTTCAATTATTATTTTTCTCTCACAACTTTTTGTTTTCCTTGGACTTGGTAATTATTTATTTATTTTTGTTTATCTACTTTTTTGGGGGGGAGAGAAGAGAGAGAGAATTTTTTAATATTTATTTTTCAGTTTTCGGTGGACACAACATCTTTATTTTATTTTACATGGTGCTGAGGATTGAACCCAGCACGCCACGCATGCCAGGCGAGTGCGTTACGCTTGAGCCATATCTCCAGCCCTGTTTATCTACTTTTAATTACCATTAAATAACTCTGTGAGGTGGGAGCTGTTTTTATCTTCCCTATTTTCCAGATGAGAATTCTGAGGGGGATAATTAAATAATTTTCATTGTGTTTTAAACTACTAATACTAACTAATACAGGATTCTAATTCAGGCATTCTAGCTTCTGAGCTGTGGTTCTAACCATTTTGCTGTAGTGTCAAGTAATACTAATAGCAATAATAAGATTACTAACCATACCCTGAGTTCTTACTGTGTTAACCACTTTTCTAAGTGTCGAATATATGAGGTAAATAATACTATTAAGCCCTTTTGAAAGATGAGGGAACGGAGGCACAGCTAGTAAATGGCAGAGTGTGATTTTAATTTATGTAGTCTGATGCCAAATTCTTTTTAACGATTTGTGTTATATTCCTTGGAATGTAACATGCTGAATTACTTGAAGGAAAGCATGGAAGGAACCAAAGTCCATGGCAGTAACTTCTCTGTACTACTGTCTTTTAGCACACTTAACAAATGTAGTTGATTATGGACGTGACTTTCTTTTTTTTTTTTATTGGTTGTTCAAAACATTACAAAGCTCATGACCTATCATCTTTCATACATTTGATTCAAGTGGGTTATGAACTCCCATTTTTACCCCACATACAAATTGCAGAATCGACTTTCCATGTTGGTTGACAATGCTGCTGCCTGGATTTTCAGTTTGTTTTATCATTGTCATCTAAGAATCATTCCTGTAGAGGGCAGCAGAGATATACCACACAGTTGTGGTAAACCTACATTTTTTTTTTTTTTAAGGAACTATGCAGGAAATCAGATTTAGGTAAACTTTGTTATGTAATTTCCATGCACTTTACGTAGTGATCCCTATGAAAATACAGGCTAAACGACATAATACATATCAGATAACTAGAATGAGGTTCAAGCTTTTTGGTAAGAAGGTAAACAGAAGCTGACTGGCACAGTAAAAGACCTAGAAGTAGTGGTTCATGCAGTTTCAAACAGAAAGCAAATGTGGTTTGTAAGTTTGAAGTTTGGCTTCATTGTTATGAAACAGATGATTTCTTTTTGCTCTTTACCAGTAGGGGAAGAAAAAATTATTTGATAACTCATAGAAGAAGGAATTGTGGAAAAGTTTTAACAAAACAGGAAAGTCATCTGACAAAAATTTTTAAGTATTTCTAAATCTGAGTATTTATAATTGTTTTCTAGTATTTTTAATTAAACAATACACCTAACATAAACCTTATATCTGACTATTTTTAAAGTTATGGTATGAAATATTTGTGTAATGCTGTGGAACCATTATCTTCCATCTCCAGAACTCTTTTCATCTTATAAAACTGAACCTCTGGGGCCAGAGCGCTTGCCTATCATCTGTGAGGCCCTGGATTGGATCCTTAGCACCACATAAAAAATAAATACACAAAATGAAGGTATTGTATCCAAGTACAACTAAAAATATTAAAACAAAACAAAACAAAAAAACCCTGAAACTCTGTATCCATTAACCAATAACTCCTGATTTTCCCCTGACCCCCAACTCCTGGAAACCACCATTCTACTTTCTGTCATTCTGAATATGACTCCTTTAATTAACTCATGTGAGTGGAATCATATGTTATCTTTTTTGTGATTGGCTTATTTCACTTAGTATAATGTCCTTATGGTTAATCTGTGTCGTGAGAATGTCCTTCCTTTCTAAGGCTGAATATTATTCTATTGTATGTTTATGACACATTTTGACTTAATTTGTGGCTTAACAATTAGTCTAACCTGGAACTTGTCCTATGTACACTTGAGAATAATGTGTATGCTGTTGTTGGATACAGTGTTGTAATGTTGTATAAATGTGTTAGATCTAGTCAGTTTATTGTGTTAAGTCCTCTATTTCCTTACTCTGTCTGGTTGTTCTGTTACTGAGGAGGGTATTGATTCCATCAACTATAATTATGAACCATTTCTCCTTTTAATTCTGTCAGTTTTGGCTTTATATATTTTAAAGTCTCTTATTAGGTACATAAATATTTGTAATTTTTATATCTTTCGTATTGAACCTCTTTTTAATATATATGTACTTCCTTATCTCTCATAACCTTTTTTGATTCAAGTCTTTTTTTTCTGGTATTAGTATGACCCTCTCTTCTCTCTTATAGTTACTATTTGTATGGAGTGTCTTTACTATTTGATTTCAATCTTTTAATATCTTGAATCTAAAGTGATTCTAGCATAAACAATATGTAGTTGGATTTTTTTTTTTTTAAATAAAAGCTACCTATCTCTGTCCTTTGATTGGGGAGCTTAATTCATTTAAAGTAATTATTGGTATAGAGGAAGTTCTGTAATTTTGCTGTTTTTTTAATATCCTGTTTTACTTATTTTGTCCCTCATTTTTCTGCATTACTATCTTTTTTTGTGTTTAGTTAATTGTTAATTCTCCTCTTTTGTATATTCTGTAACTCTTTTCTTTGTGATGCCATGGGAATTATGTTTAAATAATGACATTTTAACTTTTTGATTGAATGTGTACCAGCTTAACTCCAATGCA